GGCTGTAAATGACACTAAAGGCTTGGTTCCTTGTTGATTTCAAATGAGCCTCCCCAAGTCAGGGAATGACCAGTGACGCTCCTTCAGATGATCTCAGTGATCATGCCAGGATATAAGGGTTCAGGCAGTCCCTGAAACTGAGAGCCAGTGCAATTCTTGGCTCCCTTCCATTGAAAAGCTGCCCTACTACTGTTTGGGCAGTTGAAAAAAAGAGTTGGTTGCGGATTTTTTTTTTGGGGGGGTGGAACCTTTCAGAAACAAAGCCTGCTGTACCAAAGCCTTTCAAAGAAGGCTAGAGAAGAGGAACCAAACCAAACAGGAAGCGCTCAAAGCATCAAGGAGAGGAAAGCTGATCTGCACATCTGAGACGGCCTGCTTGTCAACTTGGATTAAAGGGGAGGGGAACGAAAGTTTACCTTTGATTTCACATTCTGCAATCTCCATTTGGTTCCATGGGTTATTAAGCAGAGAATACAGCTATTGATGGAGAGGACTATCAGTGGCTGCTGACCAAGACGCCTATAGCTCTGCCTCTGCAGTTGCTGGAAACTTCAGGAGGGCAGAATGCTCTTGTGCTCAAATTCTGCTTGGGGGTTTCCAACAGACACCTGGCTGGCCACTGTGAGAACAGCATGCTGGACTAGATGGGCCACTGCAGCTCTTCTTATGTTTTTACAGAAGCAAATATTTGCGGCTGGCGGATGGACACTGGAGGATGGCCCATGAGGGCAAATGGGGCACTGCCACACCACCCTCAATCTTACTCCACCACCACCCACCTGCCAGCCCAGGAGGCGGCCCTGCCTGCCAGCGTCTTTCTCCTTTGTCTCAGTGTTGTTCTGGCGCCCCCTACTGTTGGGCCTTCTGCCCCATCAGTTTCAATGGGCACCAACCACCAATGTGGGTGGGTATGAAAAGAGACCCTCCGAAATGAGAGTCTTGCACAAAATCAGTTGCCCAGCAAAACGCTGCAAAGGCAAAGCTGAGAGGCAGCTGTGGGGAAAGGATCCAGGAAACTCTACAGCTGTAAAGACCCTAGAAAGTTTTTAAAGCCCTGCTGTCCGATTTCTTCCACGTTCCCAAACGCCCTGATGATCCTTTCCAGCGTTCCATGCAGAAACACGCTCCAGCCAGGAACGGTATTGCTCCCAAGTGCCCCGTTAATGCTTCCTGCAGGTCCAGGAAATGCATCCAGATGTAGCAGCAAACAACATCTGGTGTGTCAATCAGGAGGATCAGTGACACCGGATATGTAAGGAACAGGCTACTGCATTGTGCTTTGGGAAATGTGCATGCATGTCTAACATTCTAAAATCTGCTGACGTTGCCTGAATGCATTCTCCAACACATTGGCCATGCAGAATTTGATCTCCTGGGAAAGAGAGAGAAGGCAGTAAATATATTTTGATTTTTTTTAATTGGAAAGGGCAGTAGTTCAGTGGCAGAGCACCTGCTTTGCATGCAGAAGGTCCTGGGTTCAATCCCCTGCATCTCCAGGCAGGGCTGAGAAAGACTCCAATCTGCAACAACCCTAAGAACAGCCTGCTGGAACAGGCCAATGGCCCATCTATTCCTGGTATGTCCCACGGAGGACCTTACGTTCTTCAAATAAAAACATCTTGGATATCCCGGGCCACAGGGAGGTTAGGCTGGCCTCAACCGGAGCCAGGGCTTTTTCGGCTGTGGCCCCGATCTGGTGGAACGCTTTGTCACAAGAGACTAGGGCCCTGCGGGACTTGACACCTTTCCGCAGGGCCTGCAAGACAGAGCTGTTCCACCAGGCCTTTGGCCAAGGCACAGTCTGACCCCCTCCTTCGGTAATCCTCACAGAACTCTAGCCCAATGGTTGCCATTCATTTGATTTTGAATTGATTTTAGAATGAATTGATTTTAGAATGCATTTCAGTTACCGTATTTTTTTGCTCTATAAGACTCACTTTTTCCCTCCTAAAAAGTAAGGGGAAATGTGTGTGCGTCTTATGGAGCGAATGCAGGCTGCGCAGCTATCCCAGAAGCCAGAACAGCAAGAGGGATTGCTGCTTTCATTTTTTTTCTTGTTTTCCTCCTCCAAAAACTAGGTGCGTCTTGTGGTCTGGTGCATCTTATAGAGCAAAAAATACAGTAATTGATTGTGATTTTATGTAAACTGTGTTACTTTTATTGTTGTTGGCTGCTCTGAGCCTGGCTTTGGCTGGGGAGGGTGGGATATTATTATTATTATTATTATTATTATTATTATTATTCCAGCATCTTGTTATCACAGTGGCCGATCAGATGCCTGTTAGAAACCTGCAATCAGGATCTGAGCACAAGAGCACCCTCCCCACCTGCGGTTTCCAGCAACTGGTATTCGAAATCTCTTAAATAAAAACCCCCGGAAGGCTGCAACCAATCAGTGTAGAGTCAGCTTGGGTCAGGTGTTCTTGGACTACAACTCCCATCATCCTTGACTACTGGTCCTGCTAACCAGGTATATTGGGAGCTGTAGTCCAACAACAGCTGGAGCTCCAGCTTTGAGAAATGCTTGTGTGGAGAATACTGAGCTAGACATACCAATAGCCTGACTCAATATGAGAGAGCTTCCTATGCCTTAAAGAGTGCCAACCACAGCTCAGTGGTAGAGCCCCTGCCTTGCCTGCAAAACGTCCTAGGTTCAGTTGTCAGCATCTCCAGGTGCAGATGAGAATATCCCTTGCCTGAAACACTGGAGCGCCGCTGCCAGTTAGTTCAGGCCAGTGTTTCCCAAACTTGGGTCTCCAGCTGTTGTTGGACTACAACTCCCATCACCCTTAGCTAGCAGGACCAGTGGTCAGGAATGTTGGAAATCGTAGTCCAAAAACAGCTGGAGACCCAAATTTGGGAAACATACTGAGCTAGATGGGCCCCGCAGTCTGACTCAATATAAGGCCGTTTCCTGTGTTCCTGTGTTATAGCGACTTTGCTTGAAAAAGTCGAGCCAAAATGCATTTTCAGGCCAATCCATTTTACTCCTCGTTCAACGCAACTCTGAGCCTCAGGGCAAAAGGCAGCCCGCAATAATCAGCGACCTCCCTGACAGACCGGACAGAAGCAGCTATCATATTTCGGAGAAAAAAGGTCTCACTGTCCAGACTGCCCTGGAATTAGGAAAAGCACATTCCTGAATTCCTCTTTCTTCTGCACTGTAGGAGACTGACACCTGATGCCTGCCTGGCATTTGCACTCTCTGGAGGGAGGTCAGTTTGAAAGAAAAGGGAAAAAAAGCCCTACCATTTGCCAAAGTTGGGCTTTGCCACGCTGCTCTCCCCCAACTGTCCCTCCCACGAAACCTTTCCAAGGCATACGTGCGGAGCGTGATTTCAGATGGGCCAGGGATGGGTGTCCCAGCCTTACCGTTAGGCAGAAAATTTTGTCCAGTTATTCACCATTATCTAACTCTCAGCCTTAGGTGTCAAACTAATTTGGCTTTGGGTACGATGCAACACAACAGGGGAGCAGAGGCATTTCCTGGGCTTTGCCCTGCCCTCTGGCTGAGTGCTTCTCCTCTCCTGCCTCCCCGAATCAGACATGTATGAACAGATCATTACCCCAGGTGACCAGCCAGGAAGAAAATCTTCCCTGCAGTGTGACTGAATTGCAATTTAACCACCTTTTTGCTTTCTGCTGCGTGGCCGCGACAGAGCTGGAAACATTTCGCCGGCAGAAAACCTAAAATATTTTTACAACCGTAATTCCTGGCAGCTCCTCATTCCTCCTGAAGCGGTGTCCACGGTGTCCACGTAGGGTTGGCTGGTGGGGTTCCCTCCCCTTTGCATTTAAGAATCAGAACGGTGGATTTTTAATTTTTTTTGTTCCGTTCTTCAGATGACAGCTTCATAAGCTGTGTTAGCTAACATGGAACATTGAGCAAGTTCTCATGCAGTGTTTTCTGCTAGGACAAAATAAATCTCAAACTCATACCCCAAGCACTTTGTCCTGTCCCCCACACTCATGCCCAAGTCCAATTTGTACTTTCAGGGACCAGAAACAGACATTAGAAATCAGTGCAGGGACGTATCTTGCAAGGGTCTCTGTGTGTGAGAGAGAGATGCATCTTTCTAACTCCCTTGTATGATCTTGGTTAAACATAATCAGAGTCTTGAAGCTGGATCAGGCCAAAGGAGCATTTAGTCTGGCTTCCTGACACCCCAGAAGGAAACTTCCAAGCAGGACCCAAGCACAAAAGCACTCCCCACACTTGTAATTCCTAGCAACTTGTATTCAGAGGCGTACCCCAAATTGGACTGCAAAAACCCAAGGTCTTAATGTGGAAAACGCTTTATATGATCTTCACCCAATGCTTGCCTGACCCAGCCCTAAACAAATTCTCTTGGAAGTAGGATCGCCACAGATTTCAGCCAGAATTTACACCTACCCTCCCCTCAAAAAAATTCAGTGGTTCTCTATTCCACATTAACCAGCATGGAGTAAAAAGGCCTGAACTTTTGTGCATAATCGTAAATTCAGCATCCTGCAGTCTCAGGGGCCAAATATTGGTGGGCAATCCAGTGCCCCTCAGGCCTGGTGAGGGCGAGGCACAAGGCAGGGAGCCCAACCGGTAGATCCAATGACAGGCACAGCCAACTAAATCGAGGTTTGTCTCCATGCTGAGGGGAGAAAAGGGGTGCCAAGCAAGCTCCCCCATGATGTGGGGCGCTGCCTGAGTTTTCCAACTCGGAGACTTACCGTCCTGTCGCTTGGCTCCTCCGTGGGCGCCCTGGGCGGCGAAGAAGAGCAGGATCAGCAGCATCTGGGACCGGAGGGGCATCGTGGGAACGGTGCTGCTTCGGGGGCGAAAGCGACTCTCACTTTTCGCGGGGGAGAAGGAAAGGCATCTGGGATACAACTGCACAAGTCCCTCCCAGCCGTCCCGGGGCTGCTGTGCCACGCAATAAACAACGCCCCTCCGGAGGGGAGCTCCTCCTCTCTTTCTTCAGCGCAGCCCCACCGTATCCCGCCCACCCCACTTTCGTTTCTGCCCCCCTGGAACACCGAGATCCTGAGCAGGGATGCAGCTCGGGGCAGAGCTCCTGCTTTGCACGCAGAAGATCCCGCTCCGGCAGCATCTCCAGGAAGAGCTGCGGAAAGCCGCTGCCAGTCAGTGTCGACAATACTGAGCTCGGTGGAGCAAGAAAGTGGCCGAGCTCCTGACCCGCATGTAGAAAAGCCCCAGATTCAGTCCTCAGCATCTTCCAGGCAGGACTGGGACTGTCCCCTGGCTGAAAGCCAAGAGAGCAGCTGCCTGTCATTGCCGACAATGCAGAGCTAGGGTCTGACTTTGTACAAGGCAGCTTTTTGTGTTGCATGAGATTCTTCATCTCAAGGCAACCCACGTTGGGCAAAAGATTCCTGCATTGCACGGGGTCGGACTAGATGACCCTGGGGGTGGGATCCCGTCCAGCTCTACAATTCCATGACTCTGTGCTTTGCACGCAGAAGGTCCCAGGTTCAATCCCCGGCAGCATCTCGAGGAAAGGCTGGGGAAAGACTCCCTGTCTGAAAAATGCTCCTGCTGTGCAAACGGGCACTCTGCAGATGCCCAGAGGCACTTTAACCATAGTCTCCCTTTAAAATAAAAATTAAAAAATTCTGCGGGCGGCGGCAGCAGCAGGAGGAGCAGCGCCAGCCGCGGGATCCGCCTGACGGCCGGGGCTTGCCCTTCCCGCTGGGCCGTCACTCAGCCGCCACCGCCCCGCCTCGCCGTTCACGAGAGAGCCCGTCCGGCTGAGGCGAAGCCAGCGCCTCGCTCCGCGGCCGGGAAGAAGCCGCCCAACCCCCGCTCCGCCCTTGCGTCCTTCGTTCCGAGAGAGCCGCCGCCCGGGCAGACGGGCGAGCCGAGGCCGCGCGCTGCTGGTGGGGCGAGCGCGACTAGGCCTCGGAGCCGGGGCCTCGCGTAGCCGCGCCGCCCGGGGGCCATGAGGTAGCGGCCGGGCTGGCGGCGAGCGGCGTCCCGCTGTCTCCTTGCACCTGACTGCTCTGCCCCCTCGCCGTCCTCCATGTGGATGCAGCAGCGGCTGAAGGGGCTGCCGGGCCTGCTGTCGAGCAGCTGGGCGAGGCGCCTGCTGGCCCTGCTGGGCTTCCTGCTGGTGGCCTACTGGTACCTCGGAGGGGCCTGGCCTCGACTCCTGCCCTGGAGTTCCCGGCAGCCGCCCGGGGGCGCGGCGGGGCTCTGCCTGCAGGCCGAGACGAGGGCCTGGCAGGCCTGGGCGCAGCAAGGGGAAGCCAGGCTGCTGCCCCAGGCCCCCGGGCACCCGGCGGGCAGCGACGATGCCAGCTCCCCACCCGCCCTGGTGGGCAACGGCTACCTGCTGCTGGACACCACAGCCAACCGGCTCTGGGTGGCAGCCTCGGCGGGGAAAGGCCCGGCGCCCACCTTGGCCCACGCCACCGAATACGCCGCCTTGGCGCAGCTCCGGCCACCGGCTAATGCGGTTGCCGAAGTGGGGGCTGCCGTGGCTATGCTGAAGGAAGGCGCTGTCCGTTGGGCACGGTGTGTCCAGACCGGGCTGGCAGCCTCCGAGGCGGCTGGCGGGGGCTGCGTCACCATCCGGGAGGAGCTGCTAGCCCACCGCGGGCGTCCCCACCTCTACCTGCAGCGAGTAGCCATCGCCAACCCCACTGACCGCTTGGTGGCCTTCGAGGTGTCTGGCCCAGCCTCAGCCGCCTCCGGGGGAAACGGCGGTGGGAAGTTCATCACCAGCATGGAGAAGTCGGGAGACCGGCAGTTCTTCCTCTCCTCTGGGCGGGTGCTGCAGCCCGTGGGCGACAAGGTGGTCCTGGTGGTGGTGGCGGCCAAGAAGCTGGTCAACCGGGTGCAGGTGGCGCCCAAGTCCCAGTTCGACGAGACCCTGCTGTCCGTGGTCCATACCTCGGAGCCCGTCGAGGCCGCCCGTGTGGACGAAGCCTTTGGCAGGCTCCAGGAGGCAGCCAAGAAGGAGATGCTGGAAGTCATGAGGATGAGGACAGAGGACTTGGTGCAGGAACACAGGCAGGCGTGGGCCGACCTGTTTATCTCAGGTGAGAGCCGACTGGCGCAGCCCCGGCTTGGAACAAAACGGCAACGTCAAGCTCTATGATTTCCCCTCGGGCCAGGGCCAGATCCAGGTTCGAGGCGGGGGCTTTTTGCAAAGTGCCCCCTATTCCTGTCTCGGTCTGTCCTGGCAGCAGTGGGAGATGGCCGTAGCGGCTGCGCTCTGAATTTCCACTATTTTAATTGCACCCACCAAAGAACAATGCTACATCAGAGGCATTGTGGGGCATTTAAAGGCTGGTGCCCACCTGGTGCTAATAAGAGCTGATGGAAACATATTTGGACTGAGTCCCCACCAGCACGCTGGAGCTCACCTGCCGGCACCGGTGCATAATTGAGATGCTGTTTGTCACTTGCACCTTCCGCTGTCTCTCTGAGGGTGTTGTAGGGAGGGTGAGATTTGGAAGATGTGCATAAACCGTGAGCGATTGGCCTGGGTCTGTGAAAGCAATAGGAGTTACTCCTGGTAGGCATTAAATCAGAGGTGTGCCTCTTTCTTGATGTACAGCAGGGCACAAGAAGAAGCAGGCCTTCACATGTGGTTGGACTCGTACTCAGCCCCACTCAGCATGGCTGGGGGGCGGGACTGATGGGAGTTGTCACCCAGCAACACCCGTAGGTTCAGCATTCCTGGTGCACAGAAATCAAGGAGGATTATGTCCAGTAATATAAGAAGTGGTCTTAGATAGAAGTTAACATATTGGACCATTTACCTCAGTATTGTCCACACTGGCTGGTAGTGGCTCTCCAGGGGTCTTTCCCCAGCCCTATGTGGAGATGCCAGGGGTCAAACATAGGACTGTCTGTGTGCAAATTGGATGCTCTACCACTTCCTTTCCAGAAGGAAGTAGTTCTCTTTCTGGTGGGCAGAGGCATTCTAGGGCAGGTTGCAGTTAGCTATTCTTCAATTAAAGGTAAAGGTACCCCTGCCCGTACGGGCCAGTCTTGCCAGACTCTAGGGTTGTGCGCTCATCTCACTCTATAGGCCGGGAGCCAGCGCTGTCCGCAGACACTTCCGGGTCACACGGAACGCCGTTTACCTTCCCGCTGGTAAACGGTCCCTATTTATCTACTTGCACCCGGGGGTGCTTTCGAACTGCTAGGTTGGCAGGCGCTGGGACCGAATGACGGGAGCGCACCCCGCCGCGGGGATTCGAACCGCCGACCATGCGATCGGCAAGTCCTAGGCACTGAGGTTTTACCCACAGCGCCACCCGCGTTCCTATAATAATTCTTCAATTATGATCCTGCAAACAAAAGATTTGAGAACGGGCACACAGTTTTCCCTTTTAAAGAAGAGCATGTGATTGCATCGAACTGCTCACACTTCACTGTTGCTAGTGCTAATATATTGTCCTTTTTGTAGACTTTAACGGTAGGCTGTTTTGAGAGAACTAAGAAGTATAAACAAACAAGGTTAAGGGCTTGTTAAGCAGAAGCAAGCAACTCATGTGATAGTGATGTTGGGGCTGTTTATATCCCATATTGCTCATCAACTAGGCTATCTTGTTTCCTGCATGTGTGCTGGCTTCTTCAAGGGTGCTTCTTAAGCATATGCAGAGTTCATCTCCTTCCTTACTGATTAACTGGCCCACTTCCACGCTCTGGGAAATAAGGAACAAGAGCTTCTGGGGCATGTGATGTAACATATTGGTTTGGTTGTTAGAACCCTGTGACCTTGCATTTTGCCCTGCTGTATAATCCAGAATTTTATGTGGATGGGCCTGATAAAATGCCCTGTCAGAGAAGTGGGAGGGGCTGTCACTTAGCGGCAGAACACACACTTTGTTTGCAGAATGCTGCACCTTAGATTCCTGTCCTAAACTCCAGCAAGCGATTGCCAGTCAGTGTCAACAGTATTGCACTAGATGGGCTAACTTGGTATAAGGCAACTTATTGCGTTCAAAGGAACACAGGAAGCTGTCTTCTGCTGAGTCAAGCTATTGGTCCATCTAGCTGCCTACTCCAGCTGGCAGTGGCTCTCCAGGATTTCAGGGAGGGAGCCCTACCTGGTGATGATGATGATGATGATAATTATTTATTTATATCCCGCCCTCCCCAGCTGAAGCCCGGCTCAGAGCGGCTGGTGAGGCCTTCTGTATGCAGAACAGATGCTCTACCACTGGGCTGCTTCCCTTCCCTGAGAATTCCTCTTCCCTTTCGCTCCCTGACTAATGAGAGTGACTAATTTTGATACGACCTTTTCCTCACATGCTTCATGAAGCATTCCAGTGGGTTAAGCAGTATGTCAATCAAACCATCATCTCACCCTCTGGTTCAACACTTAACACAAGATTACTGCTTCTATACTTTATATCTGCTTCTAAGGTGTACGTTTAGTTGCCTTGAGATACTTCATAACTGGCGACCAAGGAAGCAAATAAATAACAAGAGAAATAAACGTGACATATAAACTCTGGAATTGGCTTCTCCCACAAGTCGCAGAGATGGATGCCAATTTGGAAAGGGGGACAGACAAATGCTTGGAGGCTACTAACCACCATGGTTAGGTTCTTCCTCCACTGTCGGAGGCAGTGTGCCTCTGAATGCCGGTGTCTGGGAATCACAAGTGAGCGGTGTTGTTGCACTCAGGTCCTGCTTACAGACTTCCCAGAGGTATCTGGTTGGCCACGGTGACAACAGGATGCAGGACTAGATGGACCTTTGGCCAGATCCAGCTGCAGAGCTCTTCTTATGTTATCATGTTCCTTTGTTGATCCTCAGGTCTGATTACCAAAACACTGCAGCCTTATAAAAACTAGTCACGCACTCAGACGCATAGTTTTCCTGGGAGTGTTGCAAAGTGGATTAAAATAGGAGGCATGTGACTATATAGAGGTGCAGTTTCTTGGAGGAGATTCTCCTCTTAACTCTTCTGTTACATTTCACTCCCTACCGCCAGCCTTGTGACTAGGATCCTTTCATTTGTGTGCAAGCGCAGCCTTCCAGTTCCTTCACACTTCTAAATTTGCAGCTGCCTGAGCTAGAGAAGTAGAGAAACAGGATTTCAAAAGCGGGGAGGGAAGCCCAAGCTATAATTCATGTCCCTCTCTGAGGTTTGATGTGTGGGCCATTCCAAGTGGCTCGTCCACAGCCAAGCCTGCCTCACACAGTGGTTGTAAGGATCAAATGGTGGGCAGAACAGGATGCTGGACTAGGTGGCTCATTGGCCTGATCCTGCAGGCTCTTCTTATGTTCTTATATATAAACTCTGAGTTATGGAGGAAAGATTTCCATAATAATTCCTCTGTCCGTTTCAGGGGTCGAGATGAGGAAGATCACCGATGCTCACACCCCCTCGAGTGACACCGTCAACATGACCCTGTATTATGTCCTCTCCACCACGCCCTCTCCGCTCCTTGACCCTCTCATTGGCAGCGAGGAGAGAGAGAAGATGGAGGCCACCCTGAACTACGCTGACCACTGCTTCAGCGGCCACGCCACAATGCATGCCGAGAACCTCTGGCCGGGCCGGCTCTCAACTGTCCCCCAGATCCTCCAGCTCTCGAACTTGTGGAAGCTGACTCTCCAGAAGCGCGGCTGCAGAGGCCTGGTCGCAACGGGGGCCCATGGCCTCATGCAAGGGATGGTGCTCAGCTTTGGCGGGCTCCAGTTCACGGAGAACCACCTCCAGTTCCAGGCTGACCCCGGCGTGCTCCACAACAGCTACTCCCTGCGTGGCATCCACTACAACAAGGACCTGATCAACTTGGCCGTCCTGCTGGACTCGGACGGGAAGCCCTTCCTGCATGTCTCGGTCAAGTTCCAGGACAAGCCAGTCAAGCTGTACGCCTGCGAGGGAGGCTGTGCCAACGACCCCATCGAGCTCACATCGGAGCCACGAGGACACACCTTCCCTGTCATGGTGACGCAGCCCATCACCCCGCTGCTCTACATCTCCACGGACCTGGTCCACCTGCAGGACCTGAGGCACACGCTGCACCTGAAAGCCATCCTGGACCATGAGGAGCACATGGCCAAGCAGTACCCTGGCCTGCCCTTCCTCTTCTGGTTCAGCGTGGCTTCCCTCATCACCCTGTTCCACTTGTTCCTCTTCAAACTCATCTACAACGAGTACTGCGGGCCAGGAGCCAAGCCGCTCTTTCGGAGCAAGGTATAAACCTTCGCCAGCCGGGCCTGCTTCAGATGCCTGATGTTCAGCAGACTAACTCAGCCTCTTGGGTTACCTTTTGTGTGTGTGTAATCCAACCCCCCCCCCCCCACGGAGCCAGGAGTTTCAAACGACCTGCAGGTGTGCAGCATCCCTGCGTGGAAGGCAACCAGACCTTGCCTGGGAGCCTATAAAAAGGAGTCTGAACACTTTTATTTTCAATTGTCCAAATTGCAGTGTTGGCTCCTTTACAAGAAAGTATCCGGGGTGGGTGCACACCAGCAGTTTCTGCTTCATTGGGGTCCCTTGCGGACGGCCTTCACATTAAAACGATCTCCCAGTGGCTGTTCTGAAGGTAGCTCACCAGCTATAATGCTCTGATCTTGCTGTGTTGCTGCCCCAGGACCCTCAATACAAAGGGGATTTGACCAACTGCTAAGCTAGTATTAAGTGTGTTTGCTGTATAGACATGCACACAATTTCCCTTGAAGGAGAGCAGGTGGTGTTAACTGCTCCCTCTAAATTGATCATCTGTGTTGCAGGTGGCCCTGTTGCTAGTCCTAGAGGTAGGAAAATGTGTGGCGGCTTATTAGATGAGAAGTGCCATGCTCATGGTGCAGTGGAGGTACAGAGGAACCAGTGGAGTAAAACTCCTTTGATTCTAACTCCTATGGGGAAAGAAGGCTTTCCTTGACAGGTTAAATGTTCAGCGTTTGCCAGAGGTGGTGGTGGTGGGAGATTTCAGGTAGCTGGCCTGCTTTTTCCTCCCTCTGGAGCTGAAATGGCATGTGGGGTTTGAACTTTGTCGCATCCCACAAGACCTGATGAGGCACTTCACTTTGGTGCTCTGGATGACACTTGAAAGGGAGGCGTCATCATTAACAGCACCAAAGGCCAGATTTTGGTGTTAAAACATAGGGGAGAAAAGTGGCAGGTGAGCAGCTCTTTCCATTCAAAAAACAAAAATTACATTCCCCGCCCCACTCAAATAAAGCATGCAACCAAGGGAGAGAAGTGACTGGAAGTTTTTTGCATATAGTGTGTGTACTACTGGAATCCCGGAAACCCGCAGTGTGCTCTCTTCATCCACTGTTCAGGGGGTGTGTCCTTTTTACTCCTGGAAGATCTGAGGCCCCTGTTGCCTCTTTTGGGGTCCCCCCTGCAATGCAGACCTGTTACCCATCAAGCAGTTGGTGCAACCAGCATTGTCGTCACACGGAAAAAGTTGCTGATGAAGAAGACTCTATTCAGGGTGGGGGTTTGCCTGGGTGCCACTCAAAGCACTAGCCCCCCTGGGGCCCGCTTGCAGATTCTCAACACCTGAAAGACATCACCACAGTGAGCGTTCCAACATCTTTCAGGTCGGAGGCCAGGAGGTGGAGGCAAGATTGGGGAGTGGGAAGAGAGAGACACTTTTGAGACTTTGCTAGTCTTTCTTGGTGCCCTCCAGATGTTTTGAACTACATCTCCCTGCGTGCTGGATGGGGCTGATGGGAGTTGTATTCCAAAACACCTGGAAGGCACAAGGCTGGCAAAAGACCTTACCGAGAGAGAAGGTGGGAGTTTGCCTTTCCCTGTAGCGGTGCCATCAGCAGTTTTCTTGCTTAAAACAAAACCTGGAGTTTTTGCACTGCAAAATGTTCAGCTTTAGAGATAGAATCAGTTTGCTAACATTAAAAGTTTTTGAGAGCTCCTGCTCTCTGTGTGTGTGCACTCCCACCCATCATTCAAGGGGGGGGGGGCGCAACTGAGTGTCTTTTCTGACTGTGAGCTAAACAATGTGGACTGACACCCTGCGCTATTAACTGACCCAAAAGATCTCTGTGTCTTGAGTGTGTGAATGACTCCGATCTCTCAGTGACCCAGCACTGGACAAGACTTCAGCTGAAGAACAAGGAACTTTTTGAAAGCAACATATGCCCTTTTGTGCCTTGGTGGGAGGGTTCATGGGTGGGTGGGGGAAATGAAAATGTCTCTGGTAAGAAATTATACTAGCACTTGTGTTTCTTTTCCATCTCTGTCTCTCTCTTCCGCATCACTCTCTTACAGGGCCGTCGGCCTCCATTAACATCTACTCTCTTTAGTGGAGAATACTTGAAAATTACATGTTGGCTTGTTATGTTTAGCGTTTATAGGAAATGAATAAAATCCCATCTTCTCCCCTCCCCTCTCTTTTCTTGTTTTTTGGCTTGGTTCCCAATCTAATTCAAGATTTCCCCCACCCCACCCCATAATTGAATGTTGGCTCATTCTTTTCATGTACTTTAATTTATTGTTGTTAAAAATGTGATGTTGATTCTTTGCACTCGCAGTGCTACTCTGCAGAGTGAGTTAACAGCAATTAAGAATGTATATGTGTTCATCTCTCACAGGTTAACGCTTGTGCTGGTAATGAATTTCTCTGCCTTCTCCGTAAGCATAATGTACAAAATAGTCTACTTTAATTAGCATTTGGAGGAAGGGAGGGAGAAATAGTTATTGCTCCAAACCTGTTGCAGTGTTCTCTTTTCTAAGCTTCTGGATTGTGGGGAGACATAGACTTTCTGATGATTTGAATGTGATTTGTTTTATTTAAAACACCAAAGGTTTTGAGGTTGGGTGGGTTGTTGTTTTTTTCTAGGAAATAAAAACTTTCCAAATCTATACCTACTGACTCCATCAACATTTTTTTTTGGGGGGGGGGTTGTTTTGTTTTTTGCTTATGTATTGCATTTATATATCACTTTTTTCTCCAAGCAGCTCAAGGTGGCATACATGGTTCTCCCCTTTCTCATTTAATCCTCACAACAACCCTGTTAGGTAGGTTAGGCTGCGAGGCAGTGACTGGCCCAAGATCACCCAGTGAGCTTCATGGCTGAGTAAGGATTGAACCCTGATCTTTGAGGTCCTAGTCCTTACACTCTCACCATGACACCACACTGGCTCTCAACAGAAACCTAAATAATAATTGTCCGTAACACTCTCTAGGAGCCCACACTGTATGTGACAAACCTCTCCGGGCGTTGTCTGGTGTTGCGCCCCCCCGGAATGGACATCAGTCTTCATTCAGGTGTGCTCAGTGACACAGGTCGGATGATCCTGTGCATGCTATTAATTAGCAGAGTGCCGTGACGACTGGAAGCGTGAATGTGAGCATTCTTAGATTTATTTTGCAATATTTACAGGACAAATCATAATGGCGTCTGCTCTCTTCTTCATCAGCAGACACAGAGAGAAAAACAGTTCAAAAGCACAGCGTAACGGAAAGAGATAAGAGTAACTTCCGTCTTCAGACTTTCCCATCTCAGGAACGTAAACAGTGACATGTGACTTTCCAGCCACATATCAGCAACGGAGGAGTGATTTGCTAACAATAATTACCATGTCTTCTTCATGTTATAACATCCCTGCTTGGCAGTATCTAAAGGTTTTTTTTCTTTTTTACATTTTGCAAAACGCTTTTTATTCATCCTGTACTACTAGCTTTAATGTAGGCGGAAGGAGCAGTTAGCTACTGCATTCCTGTGGGGTGCAACCTGCTACCTCTCTCCTTGCTGTCTTCAGAGCAATGGCAGCTGGTGCCCTTTGGGGCTGCTGGGGCGGAAGGCAGGGAGCACCACAGTAGGCAGAGTCAGTGACTCTGGAAGAGTCCAAACCTCCCTTTTTACATATATATGGTAATAATTTTTATTTGATTTTACAAATATAGAATTATAACAATCCAAATTACATATCCCTATTTAGAGATTTCTCCAAATCTCTGGACTTCCCACCTTCCCCTCCATGGATCCTATTGTCCATCTTCTCAACTGCATATTATTTCATAGTCCATATTTTATATACTTTCATATTATCCAGAATATTCACTACATTACAAGTGTTATTAAAATCCTGCTACGGTTTTCATCTGCTTACAGTGGTCTCCTAGATAAATTATAATTTTTTCCCATTCATAGAATCATAGAATCATAGAGTTGGAATAGACCACAAGGGCCATCGAGTCCAACCCCCTGCCAAGCAGGAAACACCATCAGAGCACTCCTGACATATGGTTGTCAAGCCTCTGCTTAAAGACCTCCAAAGAAGGAGACTCCACCACACTCCTTGGCAGCAAATTCCACTGTCGAACAGCTCTTACTGTCAGGAAGTTCTTCCTAATGTTTAGGCGGAATCTTCTTTCTTGTAGTTTGGATCCATTGCTCCGTGTCCGCTTCTCTGGAGCAGCAGAAAACAACCTTTCTCCCTCCTCTATATGACATCCTTTTATATATTTGAACATGGCTATCATATCACCCCTTAACCTCCTCTTCTCCAGGCTAAACATGCCCAGCTCCCTTAGCCGTTCCTCATAAGGCATCGTTTCCAGGCCTTTGACCATTTTGGTTGCCTTCCTCTGGACACGTTCCAGTTTGTCAGTGTCCTTCTTGAACTGTGGTGCCCAGAACTGGACACAGTACTCCAGGTGAGGTCTGACCAGAGCAGAATACAGTGGCACTATTACTTCCCTTGATCTAGATGCTATACTCCTATTGATGCAGCCCAGAATTGCATTGGCTTTTTTAGCTGCCGCGTCACACTGTTGGCTCATGTCAAGTTTGTGGTCAACCAAGACTCCTAGATCCTTTTCACATGTACTGCTCTCAAGCCAGGTGTCCCCCATCTTGTATTTGTGCCTCTCATTTTTTTTGCCCAAGTGCAATACTTTACATTTCTCCCTGTTAAAGTTCATCTTGTTTGTTTTGGGCCCAGTTCTCTAATCTGTCAAGGTCGTTTTGAAGTGTGATCCTGTCCTCTGGGGTGTTAGCCACCCCTCCCAGTTTGGTGTCATCTGCAAATTTGATCAGGATGCCCTTGAGTCCATCATCCAAGTCGTTGATAAAGATGTTGAATAAGACCGGGCCCAAGACAGAATCCTGTGGCACCCCACTAGTCACTCTTCTCCAGGATGAAGAGGAACCATTGAACCATTCTTCGTTGAAGTTTTGGTCTTCTTGGTTCCTGAGCCTTCTGGTCAGTTTTGTCATTTCGGCATAGTCCAACAGCTTGGTTTGCCATTCCTCTCTGGTAGGGACTTTGTCTTCTTTCCATCTCTGGGCTAGTAGCATCCACATTGCTGTTGTCACATACATGAAAAGTCTTTTCTGTTCCTTTGGAATGTCGGTACCTACAATTCCTAATAAAAGGCTTCTGGGTTTGTTTGTTTTTACAAAAGTTATTTTAAACATTTTTTTTCAATTCATTATACGGTAAGTTGGAATCTGGAGTGTTGCTAGACTGCAGGAGTCCTGCATTCTGAAGTTCTAAGTTAAGAACAGAAGCGGAACCTTTTAAATTGGCTTGAGGATGGCTTAAGAAGTGTTGATCCTCGTCCTTAAATTCTCCCAACTTAGAGGTGTTGAAACCGAGTTAAAAAAGAGAAGCTATAAAGTCTTGAGGGAGAAGCAAGTGGCACTTTAGGGCGTATTCTGAAGCAAGGAACTTGTTTGTCACCTTTGACATGCCCAGCTTGAGTTCTCAAAGTTCCTGAGAGCATTCTTAGGACTTTGCTGTATTTGGCAAGAATTGGATACCAGAAAACCACTTCCGAACTGGAGAGGAGGTGGAGTTGCGGGCTTCACGCCCTCTCCACATGCGCGGGGGCTGGCTCTCAACCTCCGTGCAATTGAGGGTATCCCTGGCTGCGTCATCCCCTCGCCAGCCAATTGGCACAAACCAGCCTCAACCGGTTCAAACCTGCTGGGACAAGCACAAACCAGCCTACACAGGTTCAAACAGGCCTAGACATGCTCAAACTGGCTTGGACAGGTTTCAACCGGTCTCAACATTTTCCAACCGGCCAGGCCCGGTTCAAACCGGTTTGGACCGGCACAAACCGGCCACGACTGGTTCAAATCGGCTTGGACCAGCACAAACCGGCTTAGACCAGCACAAACCGGCCTAAACCAATTCGAACCGGCTTAGACCGGCACAAATGGGCTTAGATCTATTGGAACCGGCTTGAAATGGCACAAAGCAGCCTAGACTGGTTCAAACCGGCCTACACCAGTTCAAACCAGCTTGGACCAGAACAAATCGGCATGGACCGGTTCAAACCAGCCTAGACTTGTTGCAACAAGTATCAGCTACTTCCAACCAGTCTGGGCCAGTTCAAACTGCTCTGGGCAAGTTGGAACCCGCCTGAACCTTTTTCAACTGGTTTGGGCTGGTTTGAACCGGCTTTGACAGGATCCAACTTGTATGAACTGCTTTCGACTGGGCTGGGCTGGTCCAAGCGACATAGACCTGTTCCAAACAGCCTGGACCTGTTCTAACCAGCTTGGGCCAGTTTCAAATGACCTGCACCTGCTCCAACTGGCCTGGAGCTGCTCGAAGCTGTCTGGAACTGTTCAAACTGGCTTGAACCGGCTCAAACTGGCTTGGATCGATTCAAACTGGCCTAGACTGGTTGAAACCATCTTTGGCAAGCACAAACCAGCCTACACCGATTCAAACCGGCCTAGACAGGTTCAAAACAGCTTCGATTGGCACTGGAACCTTTTCCAACTGGTTTGGGCTGGTTTGAGCCGGCTTGGACTGGATCCAACTGGTAAGACCTGGCTCCAATCGGTCTGGGCTGTTTCCAAGCGGCATAGACCTGTTCCAACTGGTTCAAACCGGCCTAGACCGGTTCAAACCAGCTTGGACCGGCACAAATCGGCATGGACCAGTTCAAACCGAACTAGACCGGTTAAAACTGGTATGCACTGGTTCCAACTGGTCTGAGCTGGTTCCATGCAACATAGACCTGTTCCAACCGACCTGGACCTCTTCTAACCAGCTTGGGCCAGTTTCAAATGACCTGCACCTGCTCCAACTGGCCTGGACCTGCTCGAAGCTGTCTGGAACTGTTCAAACTGGCTTGGGCTGGTTCAAACCGGCCTAGACCAGTTGAAACCAGCTTTGACCAGCACAAACCGGTCAAACCGACACAAACCGGTACTGTTTGAACAGTACCAAGTGGGTTGGAACTGGCCCAAGCTGGTTAGAACAGGTCCAGGCCGGTTCGAACAGGACTATGTCGCTTGGAACCAGACCAGACCAGTCGGAACCAGTTCATACAAGTTGGGTCCCGTCCAAGCTGGTTGGAACCAGCCCAAACCTGTTGGAAAAGGTTCAGGCAGGTTGCAACTTACCCAGACCAGTTTGAACTGACCCAGACTGGTTGGAACTAGCTCAGACTGGTTGTAACAGGTCTAGGTTGGTTTGAACCGGTCTAGGCCGGTTTGTGTTGGTCCAAGCCGGTTGGAACCGGTCTAGGCCCGTTTGAACAGGTCTAGGTCGGTTTGAACCGGTTGAGACCGGTTGGTGCCAGTCCAAGCTGGTTTGAAACTGTAAGGGGGTACCGAGTATGGACCCATCCATCGGGGTTTGGCTCTGCTGGCGGCACCTCCCCCCTTAGGTTTCGCTCTGCGGTGGCATCTATTCTTCTTTCCTCAGCAGTGAAGAGGGACATTAAAAGATGCCTGTAATCTTGCCATGTGGGCAGATGGGTTACCGTGATTGAGGCCATTAGGTCCTGATAAGCTTGAGGCTTTTCAGAAAAAGGCAGAGTATGGGTTTCCCTGGAGCGGGTGGCGCTGTGGGTAAAACCTCAGTGCCTAGGACTTGCTGATCGTATGGTCGGCGG